AGATGTCATTCACGCATGTATGTGACATAATAGATGTATGGGTCTAGGACAATCCAAGACCAATAAAAGAAAAAGTCAAAAACAGGAAATATGTGAACCCTTTATTTAGAGAAATATTTCAAATACCATTGCCTTTCAGGCTTTTAACATTTAAAGTTCATTGCCTCTGGTAAAAGGAGCCTTTTGAAATTTAAAGTTTATTGCCTTTGGTCAGAAGAGCCTTTTAATATTTAAAGTTTCATAGCCTTTAGTCAAAGAAACTTTTTAATTTTAAGAGCCTTGGGTCATGAGGACTCTATCAAAATTAGGCATGATTTGTAAGACCAAATGGTATAATCTATAAGTCTTCTTAGATTTTTAATATTTAAAGTTGTTGCCTTTGGTTAAATAACCCTTTTTGAATTTAAAGTTCGTTGCCTCTAGTGAGAGGAGACTTTTGAATTTAAAGTTCATGCCTCTTGTGAAAGGAGCCTTTTAACATTTAAAATTCATTGCCTCTAGTGAGAGGAAGCATTTTGAATTTAAAGTTCATTGCCTCTGGTAAGAGGAGTCTTTTAACATTTAAAGTTTGTTACTTTTGGTGAGAGGAGCCTTTTAATATTTAAAGTTCATTGCCTCTAGTAAAAGTTACATTTTTGAATTTAAAGTTCATTGCCTTTGGTGAGAGAAGCCTTTTAACATTTAAAGTTTGTTGACTTTTGTGAGAGAAGACTTTTAAATTTAAAGTTCATTGCCTTTGGTCAGATGAGCTTTTTGAATTTAAAGTTCATAGCCTTTGTTTAAAAGAGCCTTTCAAATTTTCTTTAAAAAAAAAATTATGTTAAATGTTTCATCTTTTGTATTTGTTTGCCTGAACAAAATTGGTGTCTTTTTTATCTTTGCTTTATTCTTGATTCTCATAAATAAGCAAAGAAGGGCAACTGTAAGCACCAATTTTGTCAAATATAATTTTGGTTTATATTATTATTATTATTAACCTTTAAAAAAAAGTCAAAAAAAAGTCAAAAAAATTTTTGTTTCAACTTTGGTAGCTGAAATTAAGCTGCCAAAATGGTTCATTTTTCTTCCTGACACTGCCTAACTTGGCAGTATGAAATTCGGTGACCAAAAATCATCGGACAAGATCCAAATTTTTCACAAAAGATCCTAGAAGATCTGGGATTTTAAATCCTAGAAACTCTATAAATAGAGCTAATCTCTATGAAAGAAATCACACAGAGAGAAAAAAGAAGGGAGGGGAGCACACACAATCAAAGAGAAAAACCTACAATCACAGTCCTCTTTGATAGAGGAACCAACAGAAATCACAAAAAAAAAAATTTTTCCCGAGAATGAAATTCTCGATCTAGGAAGTTTGAGATTTTCTTTGAAAAATCTGGTTTTAAGAAAGTGTTTAGAAAACAAAAAAGATTAATTTGAGAATTTTTGGAAATTTTTTGAAAATTTTTTGGGTCACCAGAATCTAGGAAAATTTAAAATTTTCAACTACTGAAATCTGGAAATTTTTGAATGTTTAGGCACCGGTTGAGGTTTTTAACCACCGGTGCATGACAGCAACAAGCCAAAAACTGGGCTTCACGGTGGCTGGCAGAAGGTTGATTTTTTTAGAGAGAAGAGCTCTGGGTAGAGAGAGAGAGGGGGAAAAGAAAAAATATAAAAAATTGAAATAGGCTTTTTATAGGCCCTTCAAAATGACACCGATTTGGACGTCTAAACCTAGCCTGACCTACATAGGATCCGCATGTCAACCGGTGAGCTAACCTGACCCGTTTCGCAGGTTTTTCCCTTCATTTTTCTTTTTATTTTCTGTTTTGATTTTGATTTTGATTTATTTTATGTTGAGTTTTATGTTATTTTTTATGTTATTTTTATGATATTATTGTTATTTTTATTGTTATTTTATATTATTACTAGTAATAACATTTTAGAAACAAATAAATAAAGTGAAAAAAACAATATTAAAATAAAATATTGACCTACAAAATATGATATGCAAAAAAAAATTAATAATAATATTTATTTAAGGAAAATAAAATTTTATTGCAAGCAAAAATGTTATTTCAATTTCACCAAAGTGTTGGGATAATTTAAAATATAATTTTTGCTAAAGAAAGTGATAAATAAAAAAGGTAAATAAAATAAAAAATTGTTTAATTGAAATTTTCAAATGTAATTTTTAAAAAAAGCTGAAAAGGTTTAATTTTTTTTATTATTGCAAATAAAAATAATTTTTCAGATTTCATATAGAGTTGAGATAATTCAAAATTATTTTTACTAGAATAAAGATTGATTTAAACAATGTAAAACAATAATAAAAAATGAAAAATGAAAAAATAATAATAATTGATACCTTGAATAAATTTAAAAAAAAAAGATAGAAAATTAAAAAAGTTTTATTTTTTTCAATCCAAGTAAAAGATTAATATTTAGATTTCATCGGTGAGTCGTAATAATCTAAATCTTTTAATAAAAAAAATTAAATAATAAATAATTTTAAAATAATCATAATAAAGATTAATTAATTAATTAATTCCCTTAACTATAAAAAAATAATTTTTATTTAGGATCTTGTAAAAAAGTTAAAATAATCTTAAAACTTGTTTAAAATTTTAAGATTTCACCGAAGAGTCAAGATAGTTTTAAAATTTATTTAATAAATTTTGAGAACTCACCAAAGAGTCAGGATGTTCCTAAAATCCCTTTTAAAATAAATAAATAAAATATTTTATGAGGAAATTTTAAGAATTTTGTAAATGGTCAATTTTTTGAAATATTTTTAAATAGTGATTTTCTATAAATTCTATCAAAGTTTTAGAGAATTTATAGAATACGAAATAATAATAAATAATAATGTTCATTTCACAACAAAAAAATATTTTTTAAAAATAAATTTAAATATAAAAAGATTATATCATTAAAATTAAAGGATTACACATATTTAATTGATATTGTTCTTCGAACAGGTAACGTTAGGGTGTTAATACTTTTTTCATTCGTAATTGTACTTTCAAATTTAATTTTGATTTCGTAAATTTAAAATTTTTTTAATAAATTTTAATTAATTTTAAGATTTATACTAAAAAATAATATTTTTAGATGATCAATTATATCTTATAAAATAATTAATGATAGCTTCAAAAAATTTTACAAAATCTAACAATCGGGTTCCTCTCAAATAAAAAATTGTGTTACTCTCAAATAAAAAATCGTTAGATGGAATGTTAATAAAAATAATTGTACGAAATAGCTTTTGATAGGTGGGCTGTCTACATAAGTTTGGTCTACTATGAAATGACTTGTTGATGAACGTTAATGAAAATAATTGTACGAAGTAACTCTTACCAGGAAGGCTGTCTCCGTAGGCGAGTATGCATGACGGCGAGGAGCCTAGCTAGGTGTCAATCCACCAATCAAAGGACCTATATCATTTGACCTAATTGATAGGCAATTGATCCTAACAATTACCCCAAGACTGGCGAGATCTATAGAGTGATTACCCTCAGAGGACTACCCTTTAGATGTGATGTCGTATCGAGTATGGTTTGGTAAGCTTGCATGAGTGACATGTCTATTTTGGGTGTGGCCCTTAGACCTTCGTATAGATGTGACGTTGTGTCGAGTATGGGTTAGGGCGAGCGGTTTACTGTGGCGAATCTTTTGTTGATGATGCGTATTAGAGCACGCCTTGATGGCATTTTCAGTGGACTTAGACCAACATGAATGGATCATCACTGCATAATTTCTTGGTACGTGATCGCTATAGCCGCCCTAGTGAACTAGGTTAGTGGCACACTGTGACGAGTATAGTGTGGGTTCGCAGAGAGGGACTCATTCAATGTGTACGTCAGAGCAAGAAACAAATTCCGACATTTATTGATCGTACTTCTTTCCTGTAAGTCTGAACTAATTTCATCTCAACCTCCAACTCATCTTCACCCAAAAAAACCATTTAAGATATTTCTATATGTACAAAACTATTAAATGCACTGTTGGTCTTTAATTTTATTAGAAACGTTTTAAAATTTTACTAGTATTTCACCAGATTCCAATTATTGTAACTATCAGAAACAAATGATGGATGCTCATTAATTATGAGTTAAATTTTTGAGTACTTCATTATTACATATTTTCTGTTCAAACAAATTCATGCATAACACTTGTGTTAAGGATATATATTGTTATATGTGCAATGATCATAAGTGAAAACGAATTTTTTTTTTTTTTTTATAAACTAAATCCGAATATTAAAAATGATTACAAAAGTTCGGTTTTGTATCTCAAAATTTATTAGAGGTGATCGTAAGAGTGTCAACCAATTCTTTCGGTTTGTCTCAAAGGAGTTATTGATCCTTAAGAGTGTCAACCAATTCTTTCGGTTTGTCTCAAAGGAGTTATTGTTCCACTTTCTTTCCAATTTCCATGTGATACCTCTCACGTAATATCTTCAAATTGTGGTTTTGTATCTCAAAATTTATTAGAGGCGATCGTAAGAGTGTCAACCAATTCTTTCGGTTTGTCTCAAAGGAGTTATTGATCCTATGTACAATTGTTCCACTTTCTTTCCAATTTCCATGTGATACCTCTTACGTAATATCTTCAAATTGTGGAGCCCAGTACATTAATTTCCAGCTCTTGTCGCATTCTTCCATGCATGCGTTGATTTTTCTTTTTTGTTTTTTAATGAGAATTTTAAAGTTTATAAATTGTTCAATCTTTTAAAATAAAATAAAATATATTATACCGATAATTTAAGATAAGTAATTATAATTCATGCATACAAAATAATTTCAACAAACGATTATTTACGAGATTCGAATTCAAAATCTCTTCGTTAAAAAAGACGAATTTTAATAAATTGAATCAATCACTTATTAATCATACATTGATTGTCAAAGAAAGGATTGGTTTCATACCATAAAATTCATGTTCCTATTATTACTCATTAGTGATGAAACAGTGAAATGGAAAGAAAAGGTTTCAGGGCTGTTGAGTTGGATGGACTAAATGCTACAGATATGGAACATTTTAAACTTTGTTCTGATGATCTGATAAAAACGATCTAAATCTTCATACACATTGAACTGATTCTTAATTGTTATCTAAAGACATTTTTTGTGTAAGGAAACTATGGTTAATACTTAAT